GGATTTGTCCAAAACCTGTGCAACAGTTATAACCAATTTAAATGTTCATAAGTATGACAAAAAAGGGAGAACTTTTGACTTTCAAAAAAATTAAGTCGAGGTTTTCTTTATAAAGAAAAGGTTATAAATCAATGTTATAGCCATACTTTAAAGTTTAACAATATATACTTACAAATACTAGCAAATGATCGAATACTGTACACTAATTTGTTAAGGTACATCTGATAATTATAAAACGTAGTTTTCAGGGTTACAGTAAATTAAGGGAAATTTAGGGTGAACCTAGCAATAGGCATTCTAAGTTGTGTTTTGTATCTTTATTTTAAAGTGAACTTTAATGTGTGGTCAAATAATAGAGTAGTTATTGAAAACTGAGTTAATTGTTGATCTATTAAAACTAGAGCAGGCATTTCAGTTTCCCCACCTTAAATATGCAACAGCTTATTCATTCTGAAACACCTTTGCATGTCAACAACTACAAGATGCCTTCACCCAAATGCAAATTATGCGAACCCCTCCCTAACTGCATCTGTATCATTGATTAGAGGAGATACTGAGTAAGAAGAATGTTACCTTTCAAAAAGAAAGTGCTCGGTAACTTAACATTCCTCAGCATTTTTTCATTCATAATGGGCTGTGAGGATACTTTTCTTCGAAGCAGTGATAATCTCAAGAGTTAAAAACTAACAATGAAAATGTATTTCCATGGTACCTGAGCCCTGTACTCACAAATCTTCAAGCTGTCATTCAGTTGAGGTTTGCAGCCTCCTTTTCTTCTCACAAATGCTGTTGAATAACTTTGTCAGAAAAGAAAGTGCTAACAGAGTTCACTGGGGAGTTCCTCACTGGCTATCCTGAAAACATGTAGGTGATTTTGCAGCTAAGTACAAAAGTTTTTAAGTGTTTCAATTCGCCTTTGTGATTTGAAAGCCTGGATAAGGCGAACTTGTAATTCAAAATGAAAGAATAAAGAATGGGAAAAATATGTACACCTTTGGGTACAGATTTTGGGCAGAGATACCTCTTATCCCCCCCTGCCCCATACACACATGACTGTAAGATATGAATAAACTTCTGAGTTGTTTGATACCTGCCCTCTACTCACAATCCAACAGACAGCTTTTATTTTATGAAGAACATTTCCCGGGCTATGAATTATTATTGTACTTTTCTGTTAAACTGTTAACACCTGTGATGTTCACCAGTTGGATCTTATGAAACTCCCCAGATTTCTGAGCTGCTCAGTAAAAGCGTCTCATCATGTTAAATTTAAATTCCAAGTTCGTTTAACTTTTCAGAAAGTGGTTTTTATCTTTCTAAGCAGCAACTAAGCATGGCATGCAAATAAGACAACTAGGCAATTGCTTTTACAGTCTATCTTTCTCAGGGTGCAACTCAAAGCTTTCTGAACTTGGGGTGTTATAGGAGTTTATGTGTGATCTTTGCATCTGAAGTAATCCAGGAAGTGCAAGGATATACCTGGGAGAGTTAGTCTCTATGAACAATGAGGAATGAGGGGGTGTTGGAAAAGTGAGAAACTGAACATTTGAACGAAATGAATTGAACCAGCATTTGAAACTCTGCTATATAGCAAGCGGACAAGCTGATATTTAGTTCTATGGATTGTTAACATTCACATAAAACAGAGTTATTTAGCATTTACTGAATCCTTTTTGATAATCAATTTGGGATCAGATGCAGAAGAACATGTGTCTGGCTTTGTATGACCCCAAATTCTTCCGTTTTCCCTTTGAGCAGATGACATGGCTTCTTTGCTGTCTGATATTGGTTGCTAGGAGAAGTGCACTGGTCTGGTCCCCTCTTATCCAGCAGTAAAACTATAGAGTGTATTGAATAAGAAAAAGAGAGGCGGAACACAGTACAGGCCATGAATCATGACTTGTGTCCAATATGTCCACTTTGCTCCCATTTTTTTCCCCTTTAAACACTTTTGTTTTTACCAATGATGCTTTCTTTCAGCTGCTATCTATAATCCTTTTGGAGCCTGAGGGGAAGAGGGTTGCTAAAGGGAGGCTGTGCTGCTAAGAAGTCCACTCAGCCCTAATAAAAGCCTTGAGAGTTATTCATGGGGCCACATTAGTGAGAATGCCCTACTCAGTGAATAGCATCAGTCAGCTGCCTTTGAAATCCAGTGATTAATACCTTCTGTTTTTAATGGGAGGTGGGGGGAAAGGCAGACAGGAAAGGTCTTCATACTACTTTGGCTCTTTTGCAAATTAGATCTTATATATTGTCAATGCTTTTGAAAAAGAAGTTGCTAAATTTTCAATACCTGCAGTAGTCGTTAAAAAAAATAGTGTTTCATGAGCTGTTAATTGTGGCTATTGTCAGATACAACTGAAATGGTAAAAATGTCCCAAATGAACGCTTATAAGAAAATCAGTTAGCCATTCTTATATTTTGGCAATGTTTTATGATGACCATCAAACTAAAAACATGATGTTAAGTGATTATATTCAAAATGTTGTCTACACCGATCTATTTCACAGCATCCAAATCACATTTTTGTTTGTTTGATAAAGAAACTAATTACAATACACTTGTTTTAGAGAAACATCTAATGAGAAAGTGTTAAGGGTGGCAGGTGTTTGTTTCCCATGAGCACTTGGATATAAGGGGCAGTCAGTGACTTACAAAGAAGTTCTTATATATTGATACGTATATATATATATATATATATATATATATATATATATACACATATATATGTTTATATCTATAGGCTAGTTCAGCATAAGGGATTTGGGATGTTATCATTGTAATCCGTCCCTGTTACCTCTCTTTATATATTTTGATTGCATTGAGTACATGGCACAGTTCAAATAAAGTTGTGTAAGGTTTAGAAAGCTTGCCTATCATCTGAGGTGCACAGATAGAAAAGCTTCTGGTTTTGGTGCCCTGCGTAGACAACTAGAAAATGCAAGGTGGTGCTTCATACTGTTTTTCAGCATGATTCTAATGTCATCCAGGCTGTTATTATTTAGATGGTAATTTAAGCCAAGCCTCAGTGTTCTTTGAAAATTATTCTAATTCTTCTGTTCATTTTACATTTAGTTTTGATGTAGCAGCTTCGTCTGGCTCTTCAATATGTACTCATATTCATTAAAAAAGCTTCACTGTAGTCTGAATATGAGAACAAACAACATTTAAAGAACTCGGCATGATGCTTCCTGTAACCTGTTTTTGACTCTGTGGAAGTGAAATATCTTGTTAAGAGGCGGTAATACCCAAGGGCAATCGGAGATGAAAATGTAACGACTTGGTGGGTGATGTCTAGAGATCAGCTTCGAGTGAGGTCTGATTTAACATCTTTATTAGTGACATAAAGGAGAGGACAAAAAGGTAAAGAAATTGACATATTTCAACATTAGAAAGCTATCGGGAACTTCTCCCCCCACCACCTACCCATACCCCCTAATGAACATAGAAATGATTTAGAAAACTTTAGGCAGCGAAAATTGTTAGCAGATTATGAACTAATGCCTTATTCCATATATAAATGTAAAGTAATTCTTCAGGGAAATAATCAGAAACCTAGATATCTAACTAGAGAGAGAAGCCAGCAAAGCAATAAAACTGAAAGGGCCCAGGGGATAAATATGGGAGTGGAGACCAGGAGAAAATGCGATTCAGATTAGGAGTGTTATGTCCCAGTTTTAAAGGTCAGGGGATTATAGTGCCCATTTAGGGAGTATTGCATCTCTGACTGTGGAGATTCTCTTTCAGTGAGCGTGGCTTAAGTGCAGTTGAAATACTTCTTTCATTTTGCTCTTCATTGCCAGAACATGAGTGTGGGAGAGAGATATTGGCAGAATAGAAGCAGGACTGAAGTACAAAGACAGATTCTTTTGGAAGATGTCTGTCCACTTAAAACTAGAGAAGAATGTACTAATTGGGCTTCCCTGGTGGCGCAGTGGTTGAGAGTCCGCCTGCCGATGCAGGGGATACGGGTTCGTGCCCCGGCCCGGGAAGATCCCACATGCCGCGGAGCGGCTAGGCCCGTGAGCCATGGCCGCTGAACCTGCGCGTCTGGAGCCTGTGCTCCGCAACGGGAGAGGCCGCGACAGTGAAAGACCCGCGTACCGAAAAGAAAAAAAAAAAAAAAAAAAAAAAAGAATGTACTTATTGCCTCTGTATATCCTGACCTATATAGATGAGAAACAGTATTGAGATGGACACCATTAAACTTTTTCAAATATTGAGGGGAAAGATTGGCAAAATGTAACCATGTTTAAAGTATTACACCAACCACTTTTCATAACTAAATCAGAAAAACTTGGAAGCAATGAGTTATGCTCAGGGGGAAAATACTCATATTTTAACATTTTTGTTGATTTAAATGATAGGAGATGCTTAATACAAAGTTGCATTGTATTTCAAAGGAAGGGTAATAAACAATGAGTCCACTATGTAAATAGACAAGAATTGTAATCAGACTCATTGGCTGAACAGGATCCAGAACATAATCCACTTTCAAATTAGTGAGGTCTTATTAGACATGCACCCTTTGGGGCTATACAGTTTAAGAGAAACGTGAAATACTTGATAGTCTCTGTTCTATAGAGAACTGCAAGATGATAGCAGGAAT